ATTTAATGTTCACTAACGCTTCCGCAAGCCGGCCTAAAGACACAATCACAAGACTAGGCTAAAGAGAGTCGGGCTCCGAGACACAACAATATAGTGAAGAGGTAAACTTTTCTTATGTTCTAGATCATCCATTTTAATCTTACTTTCCTATATTTATGTTCTATTTATTTATTTATTTATTTATTTATTTATTTATTTATTTATTTATTTATTCCTCAATCTTGTCTTATTTTTTATTTCAATTCATAAACGGATCGAACTCAACTAACTTAGGATAACAGTAATATTAATGTCTCATTCTTTCTCCTTCAACTTTTATCTCCCTTGTCACTCCCTTAAATCAAAAGACATATCATATCACTACACCTTCTATCTCCCTTGTCACTCCCTTAAATCAAAAGACATATCATATCACTACACCTTCTGGTGGCTAACATGTAGAAAGGAAATACTAATCTCATGTTGTAAGAAACTAGTATATCATGTTATAGACATAAAATATACGTAGTCCACTCTTTTAAAATAAATAAATAAATAAATAAGCCTAGTATGCTTTGAGTCTATAATATGAAATACTAGTCACCTATAACATAGACTAGTTTTCCCATATGTAGAATGCAACTTTGTCTTTTTCAACGCACAACACTAACACTTGGACAATTTCTTTGCATTGTCCGTTGGTTTCAAAATGTGCCTTTAGGGAAGGAAAAAAAAATCAATTTATTTTGTATTTATGAAAGTTTAATAATCCCTAGAAGAGCAATCTAACCTCCATATCAGAGAATCTTATCGCAGAAATTTCACCTAGGACTTGGCTATCCTTATTCAGATGATCATCCTGTTACCAGAAAATAACTGAGTGGCGCACTGGCAGCAAAGCATAATTGCGCCATGCATGACAAGTAGAATAAACCACGGGAAACAGATAAAGCAACGGCAAGACATGGAAAATATTAACAATTCTGCATAAATGTGCTACCATTTTTTCTTTTTTTCTTTTTTTTTTAACAATCATGCAGACCCTGTTCTATGATGTTTGTTTGTCATTAGCACTGATAAAACAAGGATGCAGGAACATCAGTAAAAAGAGAGACAATGTGCCACAGCAAAAGGTGTGATAATATTATTACAAATATTCAATTTTCCATATTCAGAACCCGATCACAATACAATCTCAAAAGCAACAGACACTTATTAATAACCCACCAGTAACTAAAATCTTTCTAATCGATGACAATAGCACATTTAAATAGATTTTACAAGTTGGCTTGACAACAAGTATAACATCGCTCTTCCTTGTAACCTTTTGAATGACATGACAAAATCGAAGAGAATGTTACAAGATCCATTCCTTCACATTATAAAACGGCTCTGCACATATTGGAGAAAATTTGGATTCATGACCCCCATACATGTGCCCTGAAGTACAACATCAAAGTAAAACTTGAAAACTTCAACTCTTCTTTCTTTTGGCATTGCTGAACCAATTGTTCTTTACCTGTTACATCCACAAATTCTACAACAAACGACTCACCGTAAATCTCTCAGACTATACTAGGAGGATCCCCTGACCAGCTGCAGACAGCACGGGGCCATCGTGTCCTTACACAGTCTACCAAAGGTGCATGCTGAGAAGGCTCAGGTTTAGAAACTTCGGCATCCTTTCCAGTAGATTCATTTGCACTAGAAGCAGTGGAAACTGTCACATCTGCCATAAATTCCTCAGGTGTCCACCTTGGGGGAACTGAAACTCTCAATTTTGTGAGCCTGGGTCTTTGTAGTGGAGTTTCACCCCTAGAATTTACTTGACTACCATTCAGGTCTGATTTAGCAATCCCATTGAAATGGTACAGATCAAAGACCTTCTTACCCATCAATCCCGATGAATCCTTCAAACCTCCCGAGCTCTTGTCTAGATCCAAAATGACTTGCCAGAACTCACTCCATACAATGAAGCCTGTACTGCAAAGGTGTTCAAGCTTCTCTTGTGGAAGTTTGATATTTGTTTCTCTGAGAACTTGATGGAACCCTTCCACACTAATGAAACCACCACCTCCGCTCTGATCTTGGGCATCAAAAGCTTTCCGAATCTGTGATTCCCTTTCTTCCAGTTCATTTTCATTTTGAACACTGGTATCAAGAGCAAACAGTACTGTGTAATGGGATTCACTGCCAACAACCCATATAGGCCAATTTGGGCGTTTCAAATACTGACCAACCTTGCAGAAATTCAGGGATTCTAGCAGCGTGAGAAATCCAACTTCCACATATTGGGATATACCTTTCAGAAACATTCCCCCTCCTAAATCCATCCTCCCATCAAACACATTAGGGACAGCCTGCCCACAGAGCAGTAAGTTTACAATTTCCTGCAACACAATATTCAACGAAAAAGCAAAATGTCAAACATGTAGCAGAGAATATAAAATGAGCAGAAGTTAAAAGGATAGCAGCATTTTTCAATTATCAATGAGTATATACCTGGGAAGCATGCCCGAAAGGAGCAGTAACCAGAGGTAGGCTAGGATCATCCCTGTCACTTTGAACCAAGTCCTAGAAGAAAGCAAGATATTGCATGCATTACCGAGCCATTTGCAAAAAAAACAATAACCAATGCAAACTAACAGTTATTCTCTTGCATTTATCACACTTAACTGACCATTGTATTACCCAAAATGTAAGGAATATTAGAAGTGACAAACCCATATTTTTTTCGAAGTCAAAGAAATAGAACACAAAAGTTTATTAAAAGCATAAATATCAGAAACTTGGGATTCTTTGCTATACACATCATTAAACTAACAAAGCCATACTCACAACATTACCTCAGAATTTGAAAGAGATTATGATATGGACACACAAAAGGATCTAGCTCAATCTGAAGCTTACAAGCTAAACACAAGCATTCAACTAGTAGGAAATATGTACACATACTAGGAAAAGACTCCTTAAAGTGAGCTTGTCTCTAAAGTGAGTAAGGGTTATCCACCATTAATTTAAACTAAAATACATCGTGATTTTAACCCAATAAATGATTTAAGGGTAAATCCACTCCTACTGGCCCAATTAGAGACAAGTTCACCTTTGGAGTAGCCTTTTCCTACAGACCGACTTGGCGACTCCCTTTCAAATTGATCAAATACAAAATTTAAGCATAATGAAAACAATAAGACCACACAATTTTATGCATAGGACCACACAATTTTATGGTTTTCAGTAGGAGCTGCAAACCAAATCACAGTCCCCTACTCGTTTTAGTGGAATCGGCTGTATTGGATTACTTCAGATACGTTGCTTCTAACTCTCTTATTATACTGTTCCTTTATGTTTTGTACTGTTCCTGTTCTTTTATTTATGTCAATTTATTGTATCTAATTAATTGTAAGTTAGTTAGCTATGCTGAGTAAGCATAACTAACATGATTTCAATAAGCTTGTTTAGCAAGCTAGCTGTTGCTGAGGTCTAAAAAGATATAGCATCCAGTCTTCTTTTGTATCTTTAACGGACACATAATAATAGATTCAGAAAATGTTCATTCTCTCTCTCTCTCTCTCTCTCCCCCTCTCCTCTCTTCCACTTTCTCTCATTTTCTCATAAGATTCTAGGATAGTATGGACCATCAGCGAAGGACTTGGCCCAAAGAAGGTATTCTGCAATCGTTCTTCCACCTAATTTATATCATGTTACTCTGATCCAAAGACCTTAGTTTGCAGGGGGTATTCGAGTACTTACGATGCGTTACTGCTAACTCTCTTATTATACTGTTTGGTGCTGTTTTCCTTTATGCCCTGTACTGTTCCTGTTCTTTTATTTTGTAACATTTTTTTTGGATAACATAGTGAAAATAAGACAGATACAACAAGAAGATTACAGCAACAGTATAAGCTACAGCACTGGCGCGGGAAACTAACTCCCACCAAATCATTCTTCAAGAAAGGCAAGCAATCAGGGGGGGTAGATAGTCCCAGATCTTCAACTACCAGGAATGCTGAAAAGCTTGGGTAGCTAGTCAGCTACACTACTGCTTTCCCTGTAGGCTGTAGTCTTGGGTAACTTTAACCCTCCAATGTATACCAATCATCTGCCTAATATTGTCAAACAGTGAAAACAGAGGATGAGTGATTTGGCAGCCATTCAGAATAAAGTCTCTAGCAGCAATAGAGTCTGCCTCAAGCCAGACTTGGTGATAGCCCAAATTCCAAGCTAGATCAAGGCCAACGAAGGATCCCCAGAGTTTTGCAACCATGGAGTTGCGCAGCCCCCATATTTTTTGAGAACCCTGAAATCCATCTACCCTGGCAATCTCTGAACACACCTATAACAACCAGGTCTTTACTCGTCTTTGTCCCTGCATTGCCGTCTACATCAACCTTTATTTTTTAATTTAATTGTATCTAATCAACAACCTTCTGTTAAGCTTGTTTAGCAAGCTAGCTATTCCTGAGGTATATAAATATATAGTGTTGTATATAGGCTATTTTATTGTAATATAATTAGTCCCACATCTTTTAGGTTAATCATTCTTTTATCTGGCATAGTCTATACAATAGACTAATGTACATTGGATCGAGATAAATGATATCCATAATTTCCCATATTTCAACTTGGCATTAAAGCTCCAATCATGGAGCCTTGCTTCCGCAAAAATACCCTAAGTCTGTCTAATAGTGCAGCCCATCTGCCGTCAGTGCAGTCGCCACCTCTAGTATGAGTTAGTCTTGCGCCTTTAGGGAGCCCAATTGTTGTGCCTTCCCTTCCGGCCTGTCTTCGATCATCTCCGGGCATCTCTGCAGCAGCCAGCCACCACACTCTGCCACAGAAATATTTTCCGACGTTTTTTCTAACACTCACTCACTCCATTTGGTCCAGAATCTCACAATCTATAGTTCTACGGCCCTCACGCACTCTCAATCGCACCTAGAGATTTTCGACCGCCACTCTCTGCCAGCAGCTTTCAGCTCCAACCACCCAGAATTGGAGTCACGGTGTCAAATCAGCCAACCATCACAATCCCAGCTCCAACAGCCTCCACACGTGCCATCATGCATGGATCTTCTGTTTTGCGCATGAAACCCACGTACAGCTGTCTAGGAGGCGCGTGTCAGCGCATGCAGCCTCTATTCACCATCGACCAACCACGTCCGGTGTAGTCCGGGTCTCCTCTACCTAGATCTACCCTTTGCTAGTCCATTTGAGGCATCTGGTGACTCAAGGTTTGATTACCCCTTCCTTTGTGCTTTATTTTCTAATCTTTTCGCTTTCTATTTATCAGAATTAGAATCCGACAGCACCCAAACAGCTCAAAATATTCCAAAAACAATTGCATGGCCATGCTACTTAATCTCAATTATCTCCCGATGTTACTCCAATCATATCATTTCTTTATCCCAATTTGTTTGAACTACTCTCATGGGACATCTCGTAAGCTAGCCTACATCGAAGGACCTATCCCTACCAAAAAAGATCCCAATTTTGAGAACTATGAACTTATCATGACCTGGTTGTGGAATTCCATGACTCCAGAGGTTAGTCAGCACTACATGTTCATGCCCTTCGCGCTATAGATTTGGGAGGTTCTTTGAAACACATATTCCATGATAAGGATATTGCAACTTGTTATGAGTTAAAGAACCTTATTTTTTCTACCAAGCAGAGCTTTCTTTCTGTGACAAAATACTATGGCATTTTGAATAGCCTATGGATCGAGCTGGATTAGTATCAAAACTGTTGAGATATATAAAACCATTAATGTAGCCTCACCCAACAGCTTAAGCTTTTGGGTTGAATTGGTTCTTTACATGGTATCAGAGCCTCGCCGCCCCCCACTTTCTCTTGTGGTGTTTCTTAGCACAGGTAGGCTGGGCCTGTTGCATTGTCCACTCTTCAAGTCCAATGGGCTCTCGTGTGAGGGAGCGTGTTGAGATATATAGTCCCACATTCGTTGTATGTGCAACTAATATGGCCTTTATAAGGCCTTGGACACTCCCACCCTTTGAGCTAGCTTTTGGGGTAGTGTATCCCAAGGTTCTTTACATGGTATCAGAGCCTCGTGTCCCGGGTTTGATCCTCGCCGCCCCCCACTTTCTTTCAAGTGGAATTTCTTTGTTCGCACAGGTAGATGAGCCTGTGCATTGTCCACCCTTCAAGCCCAGTGGGCTCTCGTGTGAGGGAGCGTGTTGAGATATACAAAACCATTAATGTAGCCTCACCCAACAGCTTAAGCTTTTGGGTTGAATTGGTTCTTTACAAAAACTTTAATTTGAAATGCACTGAAGATGCTACCACCTTGGCATCCTTTGTTGAACGAGATAAGACTTTGAGTTTCTCTCTAGGCTCAACTGGGAATATGATCCTATTCGGGTCCGAATACTAGGTAAGGAAAACTTACACTCTCTTTCTGAAGCATTTCATATTGTTAGAAGTGAAGAAAGTCCCAAGGGAGTTATGATGGATGCAAAGCCCATTGAGGGGTCGGCTCTAATCTCGTCTAAATAACAAATGGTTCTTACTATAAGACCACTACCTCAGGTCCTTCCAAGTCCAAAAACAAAGGACATTGGTGCACCTAATATAAGAAGTCTGGTCACACCAAAGATAGGCAAAGCAAGCCCTCGTGGCCAGGCTCATTTGGTGAGGTTTCACAGGTAACTAATGATATTATTGCTCTTAGCCGAGAGGAGCTAGAGCAGCTTCAAACCCTTATGGATACTCTCAATAAGACCTGAGCACTTGTTCTCTAGCTATGATTGGTAAGAACTCATGTGCACACTCTTTTCTTGCTTCTTGCACTGATTCCAAAAGGTCATGGGTTATCAATTCTAGTGCAACAAATCATATGACTAGTCTCACTGACACCTTACTTTCTTATCAACCTACTTCTAGTATTTGTACTATATTCATCATTGATGGATCCCACACATCAAATGTCGGTTCTGGTAACATTCAAATTCAACCCTCCATATATCTTTAAAATATCCATCGTGTTCCTAAATTCTCCATTAATCTTGTCTCTACACATAAACTTACCACTGATGTGAATAGGCATCCAATCATACTTTACATTTTAGTGAGATTTTTTTTCTTAATCCAATCAGCCAAGTCATCTGGTTAAATTTTCTTTTCTTTTCTTCTTTTTTTTACATTTTGGTACATCTGGTGAAATTCTAATGTTCAGGAAATTGGCATTCAAACTTATGCGTATTCAGTCCCAAACTTGGTTCATACTTTGTAAGTACACTGCCTAACACGTATTCAGAAAAAAAAAAGTGGGGGGGAGGAGGGGGGGGAATAGCGAAAGAAGAAAAATGCCAAGCATCTCATACTTTAAATGACACATCGAACTCTTACAACTGGCAATTGTAATCAGAAAAACATACCAGTCCCCGTGAAAGTAAAGCAGAGATCAGGAAAAGCAATGCCCCCATACGACTTTGGAATAAGGGAATCAATGCTTCAAGCCTCTTCAATGCACTTGCTTGTGATGTGTATGTTTCAACTCTAAGAACTTTTTGCAGATCCAAGGCTGATTCAATGGACAGGCCTTCAAGTGCTTTTGCAATAACCTATTCATTGGAGAAGACTCAACTCAGGTAAATAAGACAATCAAAGCAGAACCACAGAAGACTGCAATAACATCATAGAAATTAAAATTCCATCTAATGCCAACAAAATGTTGCACAAGTCACCAGTATCAATAGAACACTCAAGCTACCTCATCCTTTGAAAATTTTTCAGAATGCTGAATGCCATTCCCTAGAATGCTCAAAGTTGCAATCACAGCCCTTTCATTACTTCCACACATAAACAATATCTCACCCATACTTCTTACAAGGGCGCTGCCAAGAAATAACAAAAATATTAGTAAAAATAAATCATGAGGAAATCATGAAAGAATATACCTGCCAACATTAAAGTGCTATGAAGCATATAGGACAAGTGATATGTATAACCAATGCACAATCATAGTGGTGAACGGATGAAAATAAAATAAAAGGAAAACAAAACATGTTTGGACACTGTATAGGTTAATATGTATTTGATGCATTGTAGTCAAAATCGAAATCCCAAGGGGAAGGAAAGCACGTAAAACGAGACAACTTCATATGTCTTAACAAGCAGTACCGCAGTGGAGCCCAACCCAGTTGAACGAGAGTAGACCCCAAGAACTAGAGTAGTGGCGGAACCAGCAGAAACAACAGCAATGGAGAACAGGCTAAAAACTAGCCAAAACACAGCCAAAGAGAAAAGGGATGTGGCAGCAGCACGACAGTGGGTTAGGGCTTCAAAATAAAGGCGGGGTTCGAAACAAGTCATAAAAATTGGGTTTTCAGTGTCAAGTGGGTGTGGGTCTGCAAGTTCAGGTTTTTTGCAACACAGTGGGATTATCCATGATCCTAGGATCTTACTCTGACGATCCGACGCGACCCCACCAAAACAATTTTGAGCGTGAACAAGATCGCTGGTGGAGATAAAAATCATAAGATCATGAAATTCATGATGAAAATCGCTATTTTGACTACCATGGTCTGATGCTTGTTAGACAGGCCAATGAACCAGCTGTCAACCATTTCAACACTTCATAGTTGAAGTAAATGAGGTTTACAATTTAGCAATTTCCGTAAAAAAATATATATATAAAAAAAACTCCCATTAAATCTTGACTAACAAGAGTGGGGTGAGAGCAATCCTAGTACGCAAACATACCCTTGCATAATCATAATGTAGAAAAAATTAACAAGGATTGGTTCATTACGTCAATATGTGGCTTGTTTGGTTAAGTATTTCTACATTGAAAATATATTTACCAATTACCAAGAACTTCCAAATCATAATTCATGCTAATATAATTAGGGATGAGAAGAGCTTCAAGGATGCCCACAAAAAGGCATTGGACCAAGAAGGAGAACAGGGAAAAGAGAACCTTCCTATAATTGTGTCATATCCCAACAAACTATATAGTGTCAATAACCAATTATAAGGAACACATAATTAACATGATTCTAGAATAGTGCTTTAGCAAAGACATTTTGTCGAACAGATGCACTACTCCATTAAAAGAAATAGAATTGATTAACAAAGGAACCCAAATTATGTCACGTAGACAGAAAGGCCATCTAGTTGAATCAAATCACAACAATGAACAATCAATATTCATGTTTGTAATCCACAAGAAAGAAATCAAAATGTTGGAGGCAGAAGATATTGACAGGATTCAGTACAAATCACAAGAACTGGAACTCTATAATTATGTATTTACCCAGCTAAACACAAATGAGTGATCAGGAAAAAGTTAATCACCTTACTTTTACACTTTCAGTGAGTGAAGAAAAATTATTTGATGGAACAGATTGACTTTTGAATAACATGCTCAGATCCCGGTTCTGTGGCGTGCCTAATACATCTTTCAAATCATCACGAAAGAAAAGAATGTATTTCAGCACAAATGCCTGCAAATTAAAGTAAAAAAACAAAAGCAACATCAACATAAAACAAAAACATGTTTCTAGAACTTATACTGAGTATCAGTGGAAGTAATAAATTAAATGGAAAGAAAAACTTAATAACAAATGCACACAGCTCAATCTATGCTCACAGACAAATAAGCATACTACAAAATAATATTATTTTCTTCATAGAATAAACATATTCAACATTATTATCACGAAAAAGTTCAAAACTGTGAATGAGCAAAAACAAAACATTATTGAATGCGTATGACTTTAGCTACAATATATAAATGAAAAAACATGAAAATAAGACATGAAATACAATACATACAGTGCTGCAAATAAAAAATATTTTATACTCAAGATAACAACATTGAATCATCAACAGATACCCGCCCCTAACAGTCAACAGAAGGAAAGGAAGCTGAATGTGATAGAAAACATGTCTACGCAAACACACATGCACAAAAACTCAACGCATATATATTTGCAATAAATCTATTGCCTGGGACCCCACAACAGTGGGAGCCTTGTGAATTGGGCTTCCCTTTAATAAAAGTATTTCCACACCCTTTATGAGCATTACCATCTTACATTGTTGACAATAAAGACTGGCCCGTGTCTCCAATCTATCAGTCATTCAATTTTTAAAATTGAAGGGCTAACTACTTTTCCCTGTATTTATTTTTGTATGTATTTAGTTTTTTATTTATGTACTTATTTATTTATTTTTATTTGTTTATTTATTTTTTCTCTTTTATTTATTTTTCTTTTCCCTCAATTTTTTCTTATCTTTTATTTAAGCTAATCAACCACCAACCCCAACTAGTTTGGGATAAAGGCACTGCTGATGTTTGATGATAAAGGACTCCCTACTTGGAAGTAAATTATATATATGAAATAAAGGTTTTACTTCGAAATCAAATCTACCAAAATTTCAGTTTATTCAGTGATACTATAACATAAAACTCAAAATATTCCAGAGACAACAGGCCACTTATTTTTGCACAATATTTTCTGTCGAAACAACCTTTTCATGATTATCCCAGAGCAGTGGATGTAAATTTTAGTTCATTCAATATAAAGATCTTGGTAAACACAAGGAGACTAAGATTCTATGGCATTATGCAGTTTAAGCAGTCCTTTGGTGCATGTGGTTAGAGAGGATAGCTCATATCTTTCTTCACCACAAATTTTAACCTGGTGTAGAGTTACATTTTTTTAATTTTCTCTGTGGTGTTATGCTCATGGCTGCTTCAAGGGTTTTGCTGTCTCAGATTTGCAAAGAGATCATAGCATACTTAATCTCATATCCTGCTTTTCTTGGCGTTTTTGTTGAATTGAAACAATTCTGTTCAATGAAATCTGTTCTTCTATTAAAGAAAAAGGATAGCAATGTATGATAAAAATAAAATATGAAAAGAGCAATACACAACATAATCTGCAGCTACCAAAGTTCAAACTTCACTTTGGATGTAACTTCTAATCTGATAATCTCATGACATGGATCTATCATAATGAATACAGTTTTAGGGTTCCAAAATGCTCAGAAAACAAATCTCTGAAATCAAGCAATACCAACAAAATTAGTGTTATATTTAGACTTTTAGCATGACAAAGGTTTGCAAACTTCTCAGATATTTGATACCAATCTTAAAAAAATTATATATTTATACTTCAAAAATAAAGGACCAATCTCTGACGAGACTGACTACTGCTGACAAATTGGAGCATTACTTGTTCAGATTTCAGAATTATATTAGATGTCAAAATAAAATTTAATGATCATTGGACTGGATCTTAAATAAACGATTCAGCTTTCAATAAATAAGCATCGGGTTTTAAAACAAAATTCAAGAGTTACAAACAGCATTCTACAAATTGAAAAGCACAGCTGAAAAATGGACCATTACTTGTATAGCTGCCAAAACACCACATGGCCCACCTTCATGCTGCACTAGCCCCATGGATGTTTCTGGATCAGAGCTAAACCTATAAAAAAATTTAAATAGTATTAACAATAATAACAAGTTGATAACAAATAGAACTTAATGCAAGAACAAATAATTCAAAACCATTAAGAAAAGGACGACAACTGCCAAAACATAACAAGCAAATGAAGAGTTGAAGATATAAATTTATGACTTCAAAAGTGTTATCTTTTTCAGAGAATGAAACTAATTTAAATATTATACTCCACAGGTGTAAGGCTGCATATATTTGACATTTTCCATACCTCACAATGGTGGGAGTGACTCTCAAGATCTAGGACACTTTTTTATAAATTATGCAGGTAAGATGATGTAAGCAGCACTTGATAAAGAAAGAAATGCTGAATATCTATTATTGGACTAAGATACAAAGTTTATGCTGAACAACATTATCAGCTAGCAGGCATGGTGGGGGCTAGCACCTCAGATAGCCAGAGTCACCTCAAGATGGAAAAAGTTGTTGTGTTATGTTTTCTTGATCAACAACAAACAGATAATTTATAATTTATGTAAAGAATCAATTCAACCCAAAAGCTTAATACATGGTATCAGAGCCTCGTGTCCCAGGTTTGATCCTCACCGCCCCCCACTTTCTTTCTAGTGGAATTTCTTTCTTAGCACAGGTAGATGGACCTGTGCGTTGTCCACATTTCAAGCCCAATAGGCTCTCTTGTGAGAGGATGTGTTGGAGTATAATATAAACCATTAAAGAGGCCCTCACCCAATAACTTAAGCTTTAATTGGTTTTTTACATGGTATCAGAGCCTCGTGTCTCAGGTTCGATCCTCATCGCCCCCCACTTTCTCTTGTGGAATTTTCTTAGCATAGGTAGGTGGGTCTATGCATTGTCCACCCTCCAAGCCCAGTAGGCTCTCGTGTGAGGGGGCGTGTTAGAAAATAATATAAACCATTAGAAAAGCCCTCACCCAACACCTTAAGGTTTTGAGTTGAACTGGTTCTTAACAATTTAAACCAATACATCATAATCAACTTCTTTTAATTCTGAAACAACTTACAATACATACAAGAGGTATATCCTCCCCCAAGGAGCACTCTCCTTTTCTAACAATAACTTCCTAACTTCTTTTCTCACCCTTCCTTATTGAGGATTTGTCCTCTTATTACAATCCATTAACTGACTATATCTAACAGGTCAGAAACTGCCAGCGTAGGAAACTGCCTACATAATATCCTAACCAGCTGCTATTGAAGTTATTTATTTATGCCTTCGAGTATAAACTGCCTACATAGGAAACTGTCTACATAATATTCTAGCTAACTGCTGTTGCAGTTTATCTATTCTTTCTAGTATAAACCTTAAGAGGTTTGGGACCATGAATTTCCTTGAACATATCATGGATTTGCTGTGCTGCTTGGCATGCCTGCCTCAGCCACCACAAGAGGTTTTGCAAAAAATGACTCATAAACACTCAATACTCTTAACCAAATAGGTATCAAAAAGGAAGGGGGAAATGGCAATTGACCTGTCTGAGGGAAAATAAAGGCAGAAAGCAGAAAATGAGGTTAAGGAGGTTGAAGGTCTGAAACTTCTAGGTAAAACTAGCAGTTCCTTGGTGGACAGACAGTGCCCAAAGACTACTTAAAGTGGGCTTCTCATATGTTTTCAATTTATTCTCGCATTTCTCTTTGGTCTTTCTCTCATCTTAGACTCAATACACATCATGCCCCTTTTTCTTGCACACAGTGAGGCCAACTAATAAAAAATCAATTTTTTTAAGTATATTTTCACAATTTCATCCATCCCTAACTTCTTTCTAAGATATGAACTAGGTTACCTTTTCTATTAGTTTCGTGACACAACCCTTTAGAGTTAATTTGGCTGTCTTATACTCATATTCAAAGTTAGAGGACATGGTCAGGAGCAAAAAGGCTCCAACAATAAGGGAGATCCTGATTAGAAGTACAATCACTAGAAGAACACTAAAGATAGGACTGCTGTATGTAAAGACAAGAATAGGGGGCACCAATCATGCAAACCAGCATTAAAGATACCAGCCAGGTAATGTTAATGGCAGTGAACATAGCTTGCAGTGTTCTTGAGGACAATTATTAGTTTGGATCCTGATTTATAAGATTTGAACTTTAGTGGTCTTTTGTCTCATTCTTCTCTTTTATGTTATGTTACTTACGTCTCAGTAGTACTTTACCCAAAGACTTTAACGCTTCCACGGAGAATTTTATGATGCTAAGATTTTGCAATGAGTTTAATGATTCTTTTACATTAAATTTTATACAGTACTTTACACAAAGACTTTAACACTTCCATGGATGTTTTTGTGATGCTAAGATTTTGCAACGAGTTTAATGATTCTTTTGCATTAAATTTTACACTTCTATTTCTTTTGTTTCATTTTATTTTAATCTGGCCGTCTCACCTTCAAGAGATAGGTATTAAAAATATTAAAAACAGCATAATTTCAAAAGATTTTAAATCTTCCTACAACCAAAGCCTGAAAGGACAGACAACGCTGATTCAAAAGGGACTACAAAAATCCACTGCCCCTCAAGGATTTCACAAAGCTGATTCCAAAACCCACCTAGCAACCTCACAAGGTAAGCAAAAATGAACTACTGATCTCACACCCCACTCACAAATAAACAAGGAATGTACGTATAGCCTGATTCAAAAAGACCAAACAACAGCATTTGCAAAAATCCACCAGGAAAGCACATTATGTCATAACCAGATTAACTCACACTCTAATCACAACCAAAGAAGGAATATATTCACAGTCCGAGAGTACCAATAACAGTCATTACAGCAAGACTTCATAAAAATAAAAATAAAATCTAAATTACGAAAAGAAGACTGCCACTCCTGTTAAATAATAACAAAAGAAGACTCAAAATCGACAGTTCATTACAACCACACGCAGCAGAGGATTCAATCTCAATACATCAAATTGTCAAAATATCAAGCTTTCCTCAGCCAAATAACCATCTCAAAATGAATTCGTCACATAATTTTCAATTAAAATGGTATTTAATAGTTAGAAATGTACCTCACTCAACATAGATTCAAATTATGTATACGATCAAGTCCTTCCGTTATTCTAACTCGTTTGCCATTAGTTCTAACCACGGATATCAAAAGCAGCAAGTAAGGTAAAATGAGTTCGAACAATTCTAAGTCTGCATAAAGCAAAGCTAACTACATCATTCTACTTCCACCAATGAGCTACATAACAAACCACAATAAGAGAGTTGACAACACATTTCGACCCAAAATCACACCTTAAGGTAGTGAGTCTATGGGTCTTTCCCGCTTATATGGCTCACTTGATCCATCTCTAACGAAAGTAAGACTTCACACTCACACTTGAATTTCATTTCCAACATTCTTCTCTCAAGTGCGAGTCCCAATATCATGCTCCAATTACACTAGGTTCTGCGGAGGCCTCTCCAATTAACCACAATCCCAAAATACTCGGCCCAACACTTCGCAAGGGATACTTCCACCATTAGCCAAATAACAAACCACATTAAGCGAGCTTACACCAAATCCCAACCCAAAACCTTAAAATTATATGGTCACTCACTTGGTCCATTTCTAACAAATATGGGACTTCTCATTCACACTTGAATTTCATCTCCAACAATGACAAGGCTCCCTTCAATTCAAGTGCTGACATAATCGTGACAAAATTTAAAATTCTAAATGACTGGCTCAAATGCCAATTAACTACATAACTTTAATGTTGGAATAACAAAATATCAACAGCCAAAATTACCAATAATCGAAAAATCACCAGAGAAATAAATGATAACAAGATAGAAAAATCAAGTGCCAAACAAACAGATGAAGCAAATAACCGCATAACCCCAATCAATCAAAAACAGAAAATACCTTATTCCCTGATTGCTCCACTGCACAAGAATCCCCTTCGAAACCTCATTGCCAAACACCACAACAAACAACTCATTCGCTTCTTCAAGAGGAAGCTCCTCACTCTTCCCAACCTCGTCGCTTTCCTTTCCACCTTTACCCGCCGCCGCAGTAGACGTCGAAGCCATCATCCGCTTCTCAGCAGCCGCGGCCATGAGCTCCCGCTGCAACCGCCGGCTCTTTGCCTCCGGAGACTCCTCTGGCGACCCAGAAACCACCCCTCCGGCGACGGCGTCCCTCGGCTTGCTCCGCTTCGGCTCCGGCGGTGAGTGCTGCATGCTCATCCGGATCGCCATTTGCAAATCCTCGTCTTCGCGATCCGCCATTACAACGACAAAGAAGCTTCGAAATCTCCAATCCAACGGAAAAAATCTCAACAATCGAAATCGAAGGGTTTTGCTTTTCGTGGGTTTGTGGAAAATCGAAGTTGGACTTTGGGTGGTGTGAATTGGAATTTAATGCCCAGCGGAGGGGCAATTATGGAAAAATATTTATGCGGGAGCGGATATGGAAGGTGGCGGTTCTCGGCCGCGCCGGTCGCCGGTGGCGGGGTGCGAGTGTGACGAAACGGTGTCGTGCGGTGAAGAATCCGTTGTGGTGCTTTTTGTAGAGGGAATTCGTGGTGAATTGACTGTGTAAACCCTGTGTTGAAAGGTACTTCGAAGTGGTTGTAAAGTTAGTGAATTAAGGAAGAAGATGAGGGCATTTTCGACAATTCCAAGTCGTACGTTTTCATTTTGCAGATTGTTGTCTGCCGCTACCGGAGACGTTGTTTTTACATCAATGCAGAGGAAAACGTTTCTGTTTTTCCATTTATAGAAATTCAAAATCCGTTTTTAATTTATCGTAAAATTACAATATTACAGTGTTAAATTCCTTTGTGTTGGGTTTTATCATTTTTTTTTACTTCTAATTTAGGATAAATTTTACTGCCTTTTTCTGATAAATGTTTCATATTTTCTTTCCCTTTATTTTAAATATTACATTTTTTCTCTAAAAAATTAATATGTGCTAAAATTTAATTTATTTTAATGTAAATTATCTGTCCGACTCTTAAGATTATTGCAAATTAGTTTTGAACTCTTATTGTGGATTTTAAAAAAAAAATTAAGATTAAATAAAGATTTTTTGTGAAGTTATATAGCCGACAATATGGGTATTTGAAACTTTGTTTTTTTAACTCTAAAGTGGATAATATGGTGTTCAAAGTTAGTCGTCAATAATACTAAAGGACCGTTTGGTAGAGGATAATTTTTTATCCAGAAATTTTAATTTTTAAAAATATGATTTTACATTCAGTTTACGATAATATCTAAATATTAAAAATTTAAAAAAATTTAATTTTTTGAAAATCCTGAAAAATAATGTGTACCAAAACGAACCTCTTAACAATAGTAAGCTGCGACGATCTTGGAATACTTTTTGTCTACATTTAATTTTTTTTATGAACCTCAAGATATTATTATTCAATCTCCTGCGGCTACCTTATTTTTGGAATATGGCTTCAAAAATTACCTTCTTATTGAAATACTGATGCATTAAACTTTATCGCGAAAGAAAAATGAGTCTAATCCTCTCTTCCAAAAAACACGTCGTCATACTCCAAATTTTTTTAAGAAAATTTACTTTCACCAGAATTTAAACCCATAACCAAAATAAATCCTGGAAAGTTTAGTTGGAGTTCTATATTTAACTTTTTTAAAGCTTTTTTTTTTTTTTGGTGTGGACTTTTTTAAAGCTTTTATTAAAACATTTCATACTTTTCTTAAAGAATATTATTAAAAAAATTCCATGAAGCCTTTGACTATTCGAAGCAAAGAGCCCAGAGAAATCTAAGTACCATAGTCCTTATGAGAGCCTAGTTAATGTAAGCTAACCGCTTATTTGGTAACAGTTTGTTTGGAGATAATAACTTTTTTAAATCCAAAATAATAGAATCCAAATAGGGATAATGTGCTTGATCTCTTCCAACCACTCTCTAGACAGAATCCCTATGACGTTGTGAATACTCTTCCTTTAATGTATTTTTTGGAGCAATAAAATTATGATGATATTGATAGACATGGAATTACTTTCCAAAATTGACCCTCCATTGACCTTGTTGCCAAAAATCCCACAATTATGCTACATAAGTTTTGAACAATTGCCTATCTCTTTAGCAAATCCCCTTAACCAATAACGATGTGCATTCCGAAGAATATCCTCACAATGATTTATGTTTGTTTTTTCCTTAATCAGAAGATTCCATCGGTATCATTATTTTAGGGGAAAGTTTAAAAATTCACCTGATTTGCTTAAAAATCATTTAATTTCATGTATTTTTTATGGAGCAAATTATATTTAAAAAATTTTTATTTACAAATTACATTATATACTACAAATAATACATATTAAAGTAATATATACTACTCGTAATATATAATTTAGTATAAACAACACTACGTATTACTGGAAGTACATACTAAAGTAGTATATATTATCCGTAATACATAATATAGTTTGTAAACAAAAAATTTATAAATATAATTCTATTTTTTATTATTTTTTTATTATATGATTTTTTCATCTAAGTTCATTTTTATTTTCATTAAGTATTAGATTAATTTGTCCATTTGAAAGGTGAAAAATTTGTGCTTAAAAAAGAAAAATACAACGGACAATGATAAAATAATAAACTATAAGGGGGTTTTTAACTTTTCCCTTGCAGTAATTAAAAAACAATTTTGATGTGAGAAACAATATGGAAGTAAATAAGTTAATGATTATTACCAAAAAAAAAAAAAATAAGTTAATGATGTAAATGACCATTACAAAATAAAGGGTACTTTGTTCAAATATCAGCCATATGGGATTTTATGCTTGTTATTTATATGTGTTTTATATGTTTTGTCTATTATTCTATTTGAATGCCTCATTGTTATGTATATAGATGGTAGCTAAAGAACAAATTATTATTATCCTAATAGTTTAATTTTTTTATTTTAATTCTATATATTTATTTTTTAATAAATTAAAAACTAATATTTAAAAATAGAATATTAAAATAACAGAAATAGACTAATAATAAATTTATGGAAAAAGTGTTTGTCATTTTAAATGACATAAAGTTATGTCATTTTAAAAGAGAGATAGACACATACTAAATTTTTTTATTTAAATTTTAAATTAAAAAAACTATCCACTTTCTTTTTCCTATGATTTTCATTTTCTGTATCTATCTCTCTCTTAAAATGACATAACTTATGTCATTTAAAATGACAAACACCAAACCCTAAATTTATTTATATGTTACAAAATAAATAAGAACTTTATATTATTTCATCCTAATTTAAGTAAACCTCAAAGATAATTATGAGATTAATCTCAATTATATTTTTTTTTTCACCACTAACCATTCAATCTTTTTTTTCCTCGGCAACAAACTATAATAAATGTCAAATAGAACATTATTTATTTGCATTTGTCATAGTCCTCATTAGCTCATTCGGTTTTATATTATTCCTCACTTTAAGTTTTTTTCTTTTTTTAATTGTTGGAAAAAGTTCAAAAATTTCTATATTATTTAATATTTTTTCACTTACTCCTTTATGGAATAGGTTCATCTAGCTTAAGCATAAATCCAACTTGGAAAGCAAATGGAATAACATTAGCATGAGAAAACCAACTAGGAGGTATTATGTTCGTACTAGTTTTGTCACGAGAAAGTAAGTAATCATCAAACTTATTGCCGCCTTCACCAGCTTGATTTTCCTCAATAATGAAATCACTTCTAGGTCCTTGATCCTTAACAACAAGGTGTTGCTAATCCGAATCAGTGCCATTAATAATTTACTTAGGTGCACCTGACTGCTCCACCTACAATTGAAGTGTCCCAAGAGGTTGGTACTGATCATCACTCCTCATTATGTCTTTGTAGAATGTATTTTCTTCAAAAATAACATATCTAATGTTGAACCCTAAGGATTGAAATATCAAAGACATTATGTTTCGATGATAACAAAGCAAAAACAAGCTTAACATGTAAGAACAATAAGGAAGTTAGTGCAATAAGTTCTAAAGAAAGTTAGAAGACAAACGCAACATTCAAAAGTTAAGGAAGAAGTCAATTGAAAAATCAAATTTTTAAAGTCAACGAAGATCTAAGAAGGTCAAAACTTGAAACACAAGTGAATCCAAGATAGAAGCTCAAATAGTTAGATACGTTATATTATGTATGGAAACCAAAGGAATGAGGATCGTGGAGCTGTTTTATCAAGAAATTCATTCATTCATACTTGATCACACACACACATGATAATATGCTACATGGAGGTCAGATATATTCATATATGTGTTAGAAGTCATTAGAAACCATGTAGAGTTAAGTTGGATCAAAAATTGTATAAATAAGCACTTTTGTTCTAGTGTCACTCAATTAAATCAGAAATACTTAGCGAGTAGTTGATGTACTCGAGTAACTTGAGTTAGTTACTCCAGTAAGTAATAAAAATATTTGCTCGAGTAAGCCCCTGATACTTAGTCGAGTAACTGGTAGAAGAAAGCTAAAAAATAGGAAATTAACACCTCAACAGTTATAAACGACTAGTATATCCATTAGACTCTTGCACAAACTTAAAATAAGGGTTTTTAAGCATGAAATTATATAAAGTTACATCAGATTACAAAGAGTTCATATTGATCATCATTTTAAAGGCATTTTTGCATACTCGGAGAAAAAGTTCCATAATTCTTCGTTCTTCTTTGTTTCTTCTGATTTTTCTTTTTTATGAGGTTGAAAAAAGGTTGTTAAACATCTGTTTGAAGTTGAATTGTTGTTGGAACTTTTCTTTGGTGAAAGGAGAGATCTTGTAGGTGTATAGATTCAAAGAGTGACCCAAGAATGGTCAAGATTCTTGTAAAACTCCATTGTATTTTGATTTATCAGAAACTGATTGGAAGCTCTAAATATATTGGATGTGCGACGACAGTCTAGACATAGCCTTCTAGTGGTTTGATGGCGAACCAGGATAAATCACAGTGATTGATCTTCTAACCATTAAACTATTTCATTTTCGCATTTGATTCTTGTTTTGCTGTGTTTCTATCTTTATTTCAATTTTGTTTTTGGGTTAGAAGGGGTTTAGTTTATGTTCTTAATCAAATTCAATTGATTTCTTATAAATTGGGTTAAGGGGAATATATTTCTTACGGAATAAGTTAGCACAACTCACCGCCCCCTCTTTTGGGTACTATTACTAAGTCATTCTTGATTAACATCTACCAATGACTCATTTTCTTTTATCTATAAGCCAAAGCTTATAGCCCTTAACACCTAATAGGTAACCAATGAAAACAGATTTTAGAGTTCTTGGACTTAATTTATCTTGCTTTACATGCATGTAGGTAAGGCACCCAAAAGGTTTTAAGTGTCATAGACTTGGTTGCTTTTTGGACGAAAGTTCCATAGAAGTTTTATGCCTTATGGCAGAAGATGGGCTTTTTTCATTACATAATAGGTTGTAGAGATAGTCTAAGGCTAAAAGGACTTGTTAAGACATGATTCAACAAGCATATTTCTAACATTATTAGAATGTTACGATTTATTGTCTCAAGAACCCC